TAGTGTTTGTGAAGACTCTCAGACACTATAGTAATGAGTGGTATAGAGGAAGCCCACAAGGAACTGTCTTCAGAGTGGGTTTTGAATGGTGTGCAGTAAATAAAATCTGGGACCACACATGGAATGCTGAGGAACAAACAGAATATTGAATAACTTCTCTTTAAGGGAACACCATTCATCATGCACTGAATGAGGTAGGGATCCCGCAGGAAAAAGCATATGAGATCATGTAATTAAAGACTGAATCATAATGCATATGCACAAGGAGAACAAATTAAGGTTGGCTGTGTGATTTTCATTCTGGCATTTCCTAACTTTTAAGTGCTTGATTCTGCAACCTTAATAATGTTCTTTGAACACTGTTTTTGAAATGTTTTATAATATACACATAAGATCGACTGCCCACACTGAAATGGAGCCAGCTCTAGCATGAAATGCAGCATTTGTTTACTGATGCCCATACATAACATTTTAGAATGGGGAGTGAGACATGCACCATCTACATAAAACTGCATGTGCAAATTCAATCAGGATATCCAGATTAGCATTGCTACTCTTGTGAAAGCTGCTGTACAATCTGTAATGACTTACTGTAAAGCAACTCAAACAGTATCAAAGAATACAGAACAAATTCATTAACGGCCCTTCATCATTGAAGAGGGTTCAGAGATATAAAACTCATTTTGAGAAATATTTTTTGTACTTTTGATTATCTTAGTTGGTCAGCATACTATAGATAGGGCAGCTCCTGCAGTCTGGTCTGATGATGCTCAGAGACTAGTTTAATGGACTGATACTAACTGCCAAGAAATAGTCCTAGCCATTCACAATGTGCTTAGTAGAGCAATTAAACCATAATCTGGGAACAGCCAACGTGCAGACAGAGGCTGCACCCATATGGCTGGCGCTCCAACAACTTCATTGGCACTCAACACAGATACAGCAGTTGGCCCAGGCATACCTACTGTTACCTACCAGCCCTGTGCTCTTGGGGAGTCAGGGAGTGACACACTCATGGAAAATCATCCCCCTCCCCTAGGCCTCTGCTAGAATCAAAGACAAAGCAATGAAAAGGCCGGGGAAGACACATCTAAACTGCTTCAGACAAGGGTGATAGAATTAAGGAAACACCCCAGCCTCATCTGCATGGAAGATAGCACAGAGAGACATCTCCATTAGCATACAGAATGGAAACCAGCTTTTCCAAAGCAGGAACCACACTGAACTATGGGATAACAAAAGCAGAGAAGCACTGCGTGATGGGAAATCTCTGCTCCAGATGCTAATGAACCCAGGTCTGCTCACACCCCAATTAGTCATTATCAGACCTATTCTAGTAATGGATCCTATTGACATCCAAAATACTGAAACTGCCTAGTGGTATTGTGAGCTCCGTCAAGGAACATCACCCATAAACAGGTGTGATCAGTCTCTATTGTCTTGCCTCTGTTTACCCATAAACAAATCCAGTGTTCTCTTTGAACAATTGTCCTATCCCTATAAAAACTCCTACCCTTGCCCAAGAAAAACTGTTCTGATACCTGGATTTAAAATGCATCAGTTCCATTGAGACTTCATCTCCTGTATGATCATGCTGGGGGCTCTGCTCTGCTTCTCTTCTGCCCTTTGGACCACCAGCTCCCATTACCATCTGGGAATCCCGATTAGTGCAAGCTCCACTGATTGGTGAGGTCTCTTTCTCTCTCTTCCTTCCCTACCCCCAAGCTTAGCCTCCTGACTCTGCCCTATGTAAACTGTTAAATGGTTAGCTAGCCCTAACATTTCTAAACAGTTTCAATTTACATTTAATATTGCAACTGTTAGATTTAATATTGCAACTGTTCTGTGTGTTTGGCTCCCTATATATATGATAAATAACTTTCATTGTTAAGCTGGTTGCTTCTCTCTCTTTCTTTTTCTTTTGCTCACTCTTCCTCAAGGGGTGTTGTTTCGGCTTCCCCATTTGCTCTGCAACAACGCTTCTTGTACCCCACCAAAGATCCCTGTAGTGCCCCAAATTCTGTGGGGTTTGCTCATCGTGTGGTTTGCCTGCGAATGATTGTGGTGTGAAAGTGGGGATAGGGAAGTGCTGAACCTGGGGGCATATGAGAATGGCAGCTTAAAGTGCTGTTTAATCCAAGCCCACTGGGTCCAAAGGCTCATGAGGGTGCAGTGTGGCACTGCTGTGAAACCCAGCCTGCTAAGTCCAGGGACATATGAGGGGTCAGCTTGTGAGTGCTGATTACGCAGTCTTCTTAGGCTTTGGTAGTGGGTGTGAGTGCCTGTGTGTGTTGCTAAGGTGGGAAGAACACCATCCTAAGGAACCTAGTTCCTGCAGGAGACCTCCAGTGGGAGGGGGAATTGGCAGCAGAGAGAATTCAGATCCATATGAGAGCACAAATAAGCACAAGCAGTACACGTATAGAATTGTTAACCTCCCCCCAGTCCCATAAGAATAATCCTAATAAATGAGCATAGCCCAGAGTATTGGGCAAATCTGGTAATACTACTGCAGGACAGGGACTTTGCTATTAAACTGAAACAATGAAGGAGATGAGCTTCTTTCATTAACTTTGGTACTATGCATCCATTTCTGGCCTAAGTGCTCTGGCAGCCCCAAAAGCAAATGTAAAACACATCACAGAGGAAATAAACTGAACTACAAAGCTGCATGATCTGGGAGGGTGAATGGATTTTTTTTAAAGGGATACTGCCAGGTACTGTACTTTAGACCCAAATTTAAAGTACATTAAAAAAAAGACATTTTCACTAACTAATATGAATAGAAATATTACCAGATTTTTTTAAAACAAAGTCAATTACTTTTTTTAAATGTAAACATTTCGCTGGAGTGCTGGAAACCCAAACATGACAGAACTGTGCTAATGAACGAGTACCACATACAGTAAAACTGACTATACACAGAAAATGACAATCCTCCATCTAGTGCAACTATCCAAGCTGAGAGAAATGCACAAAGTCAATGACCATAAATTGTGAAAAGTAAATTAGATTTTTAGATTTATTAATTTGAGATTATTTGAAGCACAAGGATTTAATTTTTAAAATGACAGTGTCCCTTTAAATCAATTGTTACTTTTGCTTTTTATATTTTTTTAGTCATTAGTGATTGTGATGGGACTGCTGTCTCCATGGAGGCATTGATTAGAATACGGAGGGGAAGGTATCGTGGAGATAGCATTAGGGAGGGATAAGGACCTATTAACTACAACTCAGCATCAACCCTTTTACAGCTCCTACTGTATATGCACATAAGGGTATGGAGCATAACTGATGGGCATGTCCAGGAAGCACCTTCTGGCTGAACAATTCCTTGCAAAGTCTCAGTATAAGATAAACTCCAGAGAGACTGATACAGTAAATGAAGCACAGGGCTCCAAGGAAGGGCTGTCACATGAAAATTACCACAGACAAGCTGGGGCCAATAAGAAAAAAAGCTGGTATTCTAGTCACTTGAACATAGGTGGGTGGGGTTTTTTGTGGGTGGGGTGGGGGGTCCAAAAGGCTAGTGTACCAGACTGGAACTATTCCCAGCAGACAGACAGACTATTGTGTGGTGCGGTGATGGCCATGGTGGAAGTCTTGGGGAAAGGCAGATGAAGGAAATGACAGTTTAAAAAAAAAGTAAACTGCTCCTAGAGGGCCTGATGTAAAGCCGCCTGCAGTCAGTGGAAAAATTGTCACTAACTGCAATGGGCTTTGGATCAGGATCAGTGTGTATGCACATGGAAGTCACTTCTTTCCATACTGGGGAGTTGACCTTGACACTCTCTTACCCGTAAGTATATACTTTGGGCTTAACAACTTTATATTATGAATGAGAAATGAGGGCTAAAAAAGACAGTATGAGCCAGCAGTTAGCATCTGTTGGCTCTACTTAGGGAGTACTGGTTTCTTAGGCTAGTTCTTGTGACTAAACAAGAGAACTGCTACAATTGGGGCTAAAATAATTGAAAAGGGATCTTAATTGTCAAGGCTGGCAAACTACAGACAAATAGAATTTACAATCTTAAGCTAATGACACCTATTAAAGGAGGCAGACAGTGCCACCCATTCAAGAAAGAAATACTGCAGTGTCAGAGGGATGATTTTTAATCCCTACATCAAACAAAGGTAGAGTAAATAAAAACTGTAATGTGGGTTTTTAAGGTTTTTAAATTAATAAAAGAGAATTAATAGGAAGCTTCCATTATGACAGTTTGATGATACAGAAAAAAATTAAAAAACAACAAATAGTCTGGTAGCACTTTAAAGACTAACAAAATATGTAAATGGTATCTTGAGCTTTCATGGGCACAGCCCATTTCTTCAGATGACTGGATACAGAGTATGCCTCAGGGAAGTAAGGTAACAGGGTTCTATTAGGAGATTCTCTCCTAACTTACAGGATAACAAAATAAGACGGAAGAAGTTTCCCTTATTTACCCGTGTTTCCAATGTCTCTACTGGGAACATTCTGTTCTCGTTAGGACATCACAAAACTCTAGTTTCTTTGGAATAAGAAAAAAACTTCAGGAGCTGACTTTTGAGAGCACTGGGCTGTTTTATTCCCCAAATCTGGAATTACTATAATTTGTTGTTTCCTGTTTTGATTCCCATTATTTTTCATTCAGTTTATGCTGACTTCTTTACTCTTGTGGAATGTGGAATGTGAAGGGAGAGAATGCTTCTGGGAAGTCGGACAACAAAATGGGCTTTGTTACCAACAGGGAAGGTTGCTGAAATTTAAGGGTTAAAAATTTAATTTAGAAACAGAATTCAGTTGTGTAAAACC